ATTGAGATTCAGAATCTCTTTTTCAAGAGGGACCTGGCCAAGGTAGCAGCCACACCACAGGAAGTTCATACATATTTACAACATATTACATTTTTCATTATAAAATCAGAGCAGTATGTTAAAACACATTATAAGGACCCTAACAACTTAGTAATTCTAATTTGATGTATCAAGTATATTACATCAATCCAAACCAACCTGGCTCTTTGCGCCCCTGGTTGTGTCATTCTTAGCAACAACAACTGTCAAGTATTTGTAATAATTTGGAATGAATCTTCACATCACTGCAGATGAATTTTGACATTCTATTCTATGCAGAATCACTTTAAATCTGTCCTACTGGAGGGTTGTCAAGCATAAGATCAGTCTCAGTAAAGTTTACTCAGAATTTTTTTTATTTAATAAAATTTTTTTTTAACAAGTACATATACATACATAGCTTAAAAAAAATCAAGAGGACACTTAAACAATGTAATATAATTCCAGTTAAATCAAGCTTAGGAAGCAAAATTATTGACAGCCAATCATGCTGTGGTGCAAATGGAATAAAAAGCAGGTGGAAGTTATTGGCCGTATGTTTTCTGGCTGATGTTTTGGTCACTTTTAAATGTTGTAGCATAAGACGGATTTTATAAACCACACAAGTGGCTCAGGTAGCACAGCTCATCCAGCATGGCACATTAATGGAAACTGTGGTAAGAAGGTTTGTTGTGTCAGTGTGGTGCCTAGAGGCTGGAGGAGCTACCAAGAAACAAACCAGTACACCAGGAAAGGAGAAGGCTGTAGGAGGGCCACAACCCAGCAGCAGGACAGCTACCTATCCCACCATTATGACATTGCACCACAGACTCTCCAGGGGTTGGTGGATTACTTTAGTCCAGGTCTGGACATGGAGGCAACACACAATTCTGAGCCTCATTTTGAGCTGTTTTATGGACATTACACCAAAATTAAATAGGCCTGTAGTGTGTTTTTTCCAACCTAATTTTTGTGTGACTCCAAATCTAGGTCTAGAATGTGTTAATTGAGTGTTTGTTTGAAAAGTATATATATATATATATATATATATATATATATATATATATATATATATATATATATATATATATATATATATATATATATATATATATATATATATATATATATATATATATATATATAAGGGTTTACTTTTTCTTTTTAGCAAAATCACAATTAATTTTGTGTTTCTTAGGAGTTATTAATACTTTTTTTTGCTACTGTGTTTTTCCGTAAAAAATAGTGTCCCACTTCCAATTATAGATTTCCCACTTTAAAAATATAGTGTTTTCAAAAATCTGACACACACGTCGCCTCAACCAACCTCTCATCTCGAGGTTTTCTCCGGGGCGAGCTGGTCATGTATTTTTGCGATATTTTTTTTTATCGCCCGATAAGAGTTTGGTGTTAACGCGCCAATAATGGCCCTTCACTGGTATATATACACACACATATATAACCATTAAGCCTAAATACTGATTTAATTGGCCAGTCTCTTTGGGGGCGTGAGTGGGGGAGTGTTGGCCTAGTGGTTAGAGCAGTGTGCTTGTGCTCTAAGAAGGTTGCAAGTACAAAATATTAAATATTATAGCTTGCTCCATTCTAGAATTGTTGGTTATAATCATTAATAAATACATTGGCTGTGTCTGAACGTCACCCTAATCACTATATAGAGCAGTATAGCAACATTTTAAATGAGTGTCCGAACGTCTGGTGGTTGAAAAAGAAGTGGACTGGAAATTCCCACAATGCACCTTGAAAAGTAGGGATCATTCATGTGCTGAGTTTGAATTGAGGGGATGCGTCCTCCGAAGGCCTAACGGACACCAAAGGAAATATGCAATCCAGTGAATGACTAGCCTAGGCATGCTAGTCAACAGCTCCTTTAAAGCTAAGGTAGCTAAGTTCTCTCCCTCTCAGTTACTAAACTGCAAAAACGATCTAGAAATAAGTTAGAAATTCTTTAAATAAGTGTATTTAGCCTTAATTTTAGTAGGTAAATCAGATGATTAGCCAATGGAATGAGTATTTGTACTCTTCAAATAAGAAAATTAGATATTATTCACTTGAAATAAGACAATGCAATAAATTTTTCTTATTTTAAATGTAAATTATCTTGTTCCATTAGCAAAGTGTCTCACTTACCTCCTCAATTCAAGAAAAATGCATTATTTTAAGAAAAAAATAACTTATTGAGATTTCATTTTTTTTGCAGAGTAGCTCCAGCTTTTTGTTTGCCAGCACCAGCCACTAAGTTACTTGGTGTAGCCTTTCATTAATTTGATCGGTAGCGGGCATCAGAATTGATATAGTCTCCTGTGCAGAGGAAGTAGGCACCAATGGGTGCACAATACTCTTAGTTTTCCCACCAATATTGCTCCATACAATTTTTCTTTTATATACTTTGTGATGTCTGTATTGTTTCTCATCGGGTATGTGTCAATCAGGTGTCCTGACCCATTGAGAGATCTGATGGCGGGCACATTTATTAGCATCATGAATGACCCTTGAACATCATAGCCCATGTGTTAGGATTCCAGTTTGTGTGGGTTGTTTTTTGTGTTTTCCTCTCTTCCTAACCAGGCGGTGCCCTGTCTTCGTTGGGCCTCCCTGCACACCTGCGGCTCGTTGGGTCATTACCAGAGGATTACTTGAGCAGCGGGCTGTCACCACCTCAACGCCAGAGTGTTTGCCAGTATTGGGTACCCTAGCCAAACTAAAAGGAGCAGAGTCTAACCTTAGCATTGTTTCTGAGTCTGAACTTGTTTTTTGTATTTGTTCTTCGGCAGGAAGACTTCCTGTGTTACTGGATAAGCCTGGACCTTCTACCCCTGGAAGGATTTACTGAGTCTTACTAAGCAAGGGGAAAACCTCCACATGATCCGTTCAAGTCCAGTCCTGGAAAACCAACTGGCAGTCCGCTCCTTTACTCCTCTGGGTCAAACGTATGTCTGCCTGTCCACTCTCTAACGAGTTCCCTCTTCTCTGGATTAAACCCCCACAAACTGGATCCAAGGATAAACCAAGAGCCCCCCAAAAGTGAGTGCCTCTCCAGCAATATTCAAGCCTCAGTCTATTTTCCCACTGTCCCTGAACTGATCACTGTGATCTCCCCTTCAGAGTTTCCAGTTCCGGTTCCAGTCCGCTGAGTTCCAGCAGAGTTTCAATCTCCATCAGTGTTTGGTAACCTACAAAGAAACCTGTTAAACTTTTGCCCTTGGTCTCTGAGTGGTTCTCTGCATGTGGGTCAGATCATTATAGCCCATTATGACACCCTGAAGATACTGTAGCATTAAAGGCCAATAATGGTAATTCTGCGATGCAAATGCTAAAGCAGAAAAGCAACAAAATCCTTACAAAATCCAACCCACAAAAACCAATGATATCCAGTTTCCACCTTTACATTAAGCTAAAACCCTTCAGCTATCCAACTATGGTGACCATTTTTTAAGTTGCTCATTTTGTAAACACCCCCTCCTCATCCACTACAATCCACCTAAATCCTTTGCTGTATAACTCTCAAAGGGATGACATGTTCATTTAACACCTGCACAAACAAACAAGTCTGGATTCTTTAAATTAAGTCTGGTGAGTGATATACGTCCTCTGAGCTACTGTCGGTAAAAATAGGCACCTATCTCACTGTAAGTGATTCTTGTACCATTGGTTATTAAGGCCTTTGTTGATGTATGGAAGAAAGTAATCAAAATTTAGAAAAAAAACAACACATTTTTCTTCTATCAAAACCAGTAAGCTTTGTGAAAAGAGAAGCTGTTTGTCTGCACAGGCCTCAACATCTACATCCAGGAAAAAAAATAAACTGTGCAAGGAGTGAACTTGCAGTCCTTGCAGTTCTCATTGACCTTCTTTACCTCAACAGCTCTTTTGGGACATGCATAAAAATAAAATGGATCTTTGAAAAGCATTAAAAAAATAAAAAAAATGAGAACGAAAAAGAAAATTAACGCACTTCATAAAAAAGAGAGAGAACTATGGGAAAAGCTGCCAAGTCCGGCTCTACTGAGACCAGCAAGTCTTCCTGTCTGGGCAGATTTTACAGCAGTAATCAAGGCGCTAATCATCACTGAAAGGAGCCAAGGGACTCAGCATGATCATCAGATGCTAAGTGACTACAGTACAGTCTTCTACACGTTGCCTCGTATCTGCCAGGGTTATAAAAACAAAGAAAATAAACCCCAAATACCTTGTAAATGATGCTCTTAAGCATCGTCTTTTGCTGCTGTCACATCAGCAGGTTTTCGGCGAATTTCTCTATAAGCTTTGCTGTTTAAAGTTTCAGCTTTAAATGTGGGGGAACAACAGGTGTGAACTCTTAAAGCTACGAGTATTTTTGTCAATCACTCCGTCAGAGGATGAGCTTCAGCTCAGATCAATTATTTTTTTTTTTTAATGAAAACTGATGCAAATTAGAGAAATTCCCTTTATGCAATTAACATTTTATCAACCATATTTAGCACCTATTTTAATTCCCCAGCTTCCGACACTGAAACATTAGACGTTTGTCCAGTAGCTCTTTCGAGCGGTTCCTAGTGGGGGTTTCGGTTTACATGAGCCCCCCCCAGCCCCATAGGGGGGGTTAGGCTGTTGCAGGATGACTGACGCCCCCTGAAAAGGAGGGGCGCCTCCTGAAAAGGAGGGGTTGGAACTTCAGAGGCAACATAAATTTGGAGAATTGGTTCCTATTCATTGGTATCAATCGATGTTTTATACTCTGACATCATTCTGTTTAGTTTTACCTAAACAATCAGGTTTTAAGCAGTAAGTAGTACCTCCTTAGATGGCTGATAAAAGCTTAAAATTGTTCAGCTTGAAGTATTTTTCTATATATTTTCATATTAACTACTTTTTTAAGGTGATCTATAATTATTACAGATAAAATAAAGGACCGGTAGAAATAGAAAATCTCCGGTGTAACCGTGTGTTGAGGGGAAGTGATGACATTTTTTATGGGAACATACCGTTCTCTGTGTGCGCTACGTCCTCCTGCTGATGGTTGAAGCTCTCGTACGAGTCCCAGCGGATCAGGGGGTCCTGGGTGTTGTAGTCCACACAAACGCTGGGCCCGTTCTCTAGGTGGTCCAGACCTAAGGGGATTTCAATGAGAAAAAGGGAATTAGCAATAAAAGGGGAAACCAAAGTAGGCTTTTTAAAGTGATCAGAAGCTCACCTCTGATTTTTTCTGGTCCATATGAGAAGACAAACTCCACCTTTCCGTACTCTGGGAACCTTTCATCTGTGAAAACACAAACAACAGCCATTTTTTATTAAAAAAAAATTAAAAATAAAGGTCTAGACTGTGCAGCTTTGTCTATAACAGCAGAAACATAAGTACAGACACTAAACGGATATGAACGTCTTGTTTGTGCTCAAAATGTCAAAGTAGCACAAAGTCTGTGTGATGACACTCTTAAGCGTTTATGAGACCATTAAGGGTTCGGTCTTCTCCCCCTCTAGCTTTAGACATGAAACCACGATTGCAGGTTTCTGTGACGGTGGGAGTCTCACCACTGCTCTCATTCTCAGGGTAGGAAAAATAAACGAGACTGATCCGATTTTCGCCATTCTGTTCTTGTTCTGATGGTAAGACAAACTGAGAGACAAGACTATTTGTTTCTCGCCAAATAGCTTTTGTTAAGAAACATAAGAAGAATAGAGCGCAGGACTGACTCTGTTCTGCCCACTCGGTTCTTGTTGCTGCGGTAAGACCAATTGACAGAATATTTTTAAAGACATTTGCATGGATGTTACAGAGTTATGAAAAGGGTTGTAAAGAAACACATTTAAATATTTTACACCATCTTTTTAGAAGATTTTCACATGAAAGAGGTTTGGCAAAGATTGCATCCTTGCTAGAGTTGAAAGGTCAAACCGGAAGATAGAAGATAAGATAGCATGCAACTCCAAAGAGAAGAAAGTATCGGTTTCCATTTGCATGTTTCCAAGCAATAAGAGGCCTTGTCTATATAAGACTCAAACTCACTGCGGATCCAGACATTTGAATTGAGAAAGCTTCCTGGAGAGGTGGCGAAACGTCTTCAAATCTTGGAAACTGACTATGACCTGGATGACTGAGAATCTTCATCAGCAAATGACAGAGTAGACTATTTTATAGAAATAGATGGAAATATTCCACGGACTGACCAGAAGAAAAGAGCAACTTTTGGGAGAGTCTGTCAAATGATCTGCCCTGATCGCTCACCTTAATTGCTCATACCTTTCACCTGCTTAACTCTGTCCAGCTCCTAACCATCACTCATCTTCTCCACCTCCCGGTTTCCCTTATATTGAGTTCAGTTCCAGCTATCGGGGCAGATCATTGTTTCATCTCGGTTAGTTCCCTGTTTGCCTTCTGTTAGTGTCCTGTCTGTCAGTTTTAGTTATTTCCAAGGTTCATGTCCCCATTTCCAGTAGGAGATTATTTTTCAGCCCGTGTCTTCAGGCTAGTTTTAATTTCAGAGCGTTTCAGCATTTCTCCGAGTGATTCTGTTTCCTGATTGGAAATAGGAAACTGATTGGATGGTTTTTCCTGCTGGATTTTGCCTGTCTGCATTTCTGTCTGAGCTGGATGCTCGATGCACGGGACTCTAAACCTGCCTTCGCACTCTGATGGATTCCTGGAACCCAGATCTGTCTGTTCCTCAGTGGACTGTACTGTACCTCGCACCTGCAGTCACTGCAGTTCCACAGCAGCAGGCTTCTGTTTTCTCTCTTTCTGTTTTAATAAATGTTTAGAACTTTCCTACTGGCTGTCTCACCTTGAATACTGGGTCCATTTTCACGTATTATGACATGGATGTCAAGAATAAATAAAGATGGTGTGGCGTTACTTTAAACATCTTGTTTATGATTAAAAATCCTCAAGTGTGGATGTGTTAAAACAATCCTGTGTGAAAACAAAAAAGCTAGTGGCAAAGTAATTATGAAGTTAGCTTTATCATTGTTTCCAATTGTTATCAAGACTTTAAAAAACTGATTGTTATCTTTGTTGTCTGTCATTTCTTTACTATTTTGATGAGGTTTAACAGTTAAGTGTGACATAAAAGTAAAAAATAGAAAAACTCATAAGGAGGGAATTGCTTTATAAAAACACAGAGGCCGCAATATTGGAAAACAGAGTTAAATCAAATAATCATTCTTTTCATGGTCATTTTAATTTTAATCAGCAGGATGCTAATCATTTTCTTATTTCTATAAATATGGTAGAGATTCAAAGAAGCCCAATTCCTTTTATGGCTTAATAATTCCTAAATACCACTTTAAATGATTGTTTTACTATTTAAAGTATTAGTAAATTCCTGTTTTTATAAGATCTTTATCTGATTTTGACCCAAAACAGAAGAAAAAGAAACAAAATGCCAGCAGGTTGTTAGTTGTAATTTCATTTAAAACAAATTTAAATACACTAAAAACATCAATATATATGTATTTGTATAAATGTAATGTGTAGAATTGATTGGGATTTTTTTTCTTTGGTTAGTGTGTTAAATGTTTTTATATGAACTAAAAAATATAAGAAATGTTAAAAAACAACAGAAAAAAAAACAGAATTTACATTTTAGGCAAAAATATCTGTTTAAATATTGTTAATTAAAACGGTTATCTTCCAAAAAAAATTTTTTGAATACGTCTAAAACAAAACCAAGTATTATCTTTTATTCATTGTAAGATTATATATGTACCATCAAGCGTTTTTTATTTTTATTTTTATTTTTATGCTTTAAAAAACAAAACAAGAGAGTTACGGTGTTTTTAATCAACTGTTAAACAAGCAAATGCTTAAAGTTAAAGCTGAAGTCTGTAAGTTTTTAAAAATCACTTTTTTGTCATATTGGCTAAAACTGTCCCTATGCCCAGACAGCAGTACATGTGATATGTAACCTGTGAAAAAAACTGCTTCAATTGGTCCCGCATACTGCCTGTATTTCAATCTGGAAAGAATAATTCGGGACGAGTCAAAACAACCAATCACAGCCAGAGGAGCGTCTGATGAAGTGTCAATCACAGCTCACACACGGTATTTTAGAACATTTCATAACGTTTTTAACGTGTTAAATATGGTTGATGAAATGTTAATTACATAGCTGGAATTTAATCATTTGAAAAAATATATATATTAAACTATGTTTACTAGCTATTTTTTAATTTTAAATTTTCAAAGAAAGCCAAAATTAATCATAAATAAACTAGATTTTTTTTTTGTCTTAAAGAAACCATGAGCTCTTTTATCTATTGTCCAAGATTATCCTGTATGTAAATGTTTTTTTTTTTTCTTATTATTTTTTGGAAAGAAAAGTAAGTGTGTTTAACAATTAAGTCAAATCTTGAGTCTAAAGGAACTTTTCAAAATAAAGGTGACAGCTCTCCTTTTAGCATTAGGGATTTTTGAGTGAATGTTCTGCTGCTTGGCCACAAGAGGGAGCTGTTCATTATGAAAGTGGATGCATTGTGTCATCTGCTGTCAGAAAAAAGCAATTAAACCTTAACCTTAGACTTTAATTTGGCCTTTTTTAGATTTATTCTTGAAAAAACTAATGAAATCATGTCAACTGTTTTCATTTCATGAATTATTTAGCTGCAGAGAGCTTAACCATAGAAAAACCACATTACCTTTAAAGGTCTCATCGAGCTCAGTCTTCCCAAAAACCACCCCGAGGTCATGGATAGCACAAGTGTGGAACTGCACCCTGAACATCACGTCCCGGGTCGGGTTCCTGTACCTCTTGTGGTAACACTTCAGCTATTAATAAACAAGAAATGAAACCAAACATCAAATCAATGATTCCTATGAGCCTTAATTACCAAAAAAAACAACAACAAAAAAACAAAGAAAAGAAAGATTGAGATCCAACCAGAATGTCTCCTTTCAGAAGCAGGCCGGGTTCAATGGTGATACAGATACTGGTGTTGCTGTCTCCTTGAACATTGCTGACAAAACACAAAATACAATAAACATCTTGTCATTGTGGATCACATCATGGTGTCAATTTCTCGTTAGCCTTTAAACCTAAACCAGTTTGAACTGGGGGGAAATAAATCAGTTTTCATACTATATTCCGGATGTATAGACAGGCTGCATGGCCTGGTAGATCTTCAGGAAAGGCCTGCATCCTGTGAAGAAATGGAAACGAAGAAAATGTAAGACACAGCCACATCGTTCGTGCTTCTCTTTTGTACTTTTTGGGTCGGAAACTCACCTCCTTTGGACTCAAAGTTGGGTATGCCGTGCATGATGACATGATGCAGGAAGAGGGGCTTATTGTTGATTTTTATGTGCCCAGACAGGAGCCCGTTGAAATATTGAACATACCTGCAAACAAAGGAATGTCATCCTCTAATTTCCTCTGTTATCTTTGCTTCTAGCATTTCTTTCATCACCAGCTCCAGGTCTTCAATAAACTCACCTGTTTCCACTCACAATAGGGGGTGGGTTTTAAAGAAGTCACAGGACATAATTAGAAGGGTTAGGGCTAGATTAAAAGATTTTTTCATCCCTTAGTATCATTATAAATAGTTTAGTTATTTGACATAACAGGAATCAGGTATTAAGTCTAAAAAAGTGGGATTAATTTTTTACTGTATGAATAAATATGGAAAAAAACAAAAGAAATTCTATTTCTAGTGATTCATCAATCTGAAAATTTGGGTTGATTTTCGATAACCGATAATAATATTCACTTTATGGCCTATAACTCTTTTGAGACTATGATAAACTGATCATAGTGAATAAATTGCTTCTCTAATTAAGAGTTTACTCTCCCAATAACACTTGTTATTTATTAGAAATATCACAATTGAGAATTTCTTCCTTTTTTCGAAATAAGCAAAATAAAAACCTTAACCTAAAATAAAAACAGAGACTAGAAAAAAGGAGCATTGTTTGGCCCAGTTGTGGAACAGTTCTTATTGGTTAAAAAGGAGTGCACAAGAGCTCCGCACAACGTAAGTGAACGGGGCGGAGCGGAAATGGAGGATGTGGAATCTGAGGGTTAGTCATTCTGCATGGAGTACTTTCTTGTGATTGGCTTATATAAGGGAGCTTTGTGATTGGTGGCAGACTATTTCCTGCTTTAAAAAAATGCATTTGTGTTTATAGACCACTAGTACTTTGTAATTTAATTTATAATTGTTTATGGACCAGAAATACTTTGGTGAATCTTGTTCTATGCATGTTTAGATCTTGGGTGCAGAATAAATAGTGCTGTGTGTGTGTGGATCTTGTACTATGTGCGTGTGGATTTTTTTTGTGCTTGTGCGAATAGTGCTGAGCATGTGTGGATCTTGTCCTGTCCATGTATGAATCACATATGCGTATTTATGAAAATTTAGACCGATCTTGCTCCATAAACAACGGCCGATTCCAGTGTTTAGATATATCTGCAGTTATTTCAAATATAAATATCAGTGCTTCTATGTTCCTTCTCTATTTCTTTGAACCCTCAGTCTTTCAGCCTGGTTCTGCTGGAGGTTTCTTACATTTAACAGGGAGTTTTTCCTCTCTACTTTGGAGAGGAAAATCTCGCAGGATTAAGGGAATGATGGAGCTAGAATTAAAATTTGAACTGCAGACTTTTAAATCAATAAAAACCTATTAATCCCAAACTTAACTCCCTACTGAGCCACAGACCAAATTCTATCCCTCTTATGAGGTGGCATTTGTCCCATTAGATCCTTGACGAGTTAGTATTATCTGGTTGCTAATAATGCTAATAAAGATGGAATCAAAGGTAACCTTGACCTCCAGGTCTCCACCTACACACATCCCCCTTGTTCTCCTGTCAGTGACCAGATGTTTGGGCTTCTGGGAGGTTCAGTTAGTCTGACCCGAGATGTTGTGTTAGGAAAAGAAAAGCTAGGGGGCTGTAGCAACAGCATGTGTTATTTATTTCATCAAAAACAATACAGATTTTATCCTACACATAAAATATTATTTACCAATTGTTTATTACAGTTAACAGATACTGTACTGACACAACAGGGATACCCCTCTCCTCACTTACTGACATGTTGGGTTCATGAACTTTCTAAATTCTTCCATGAGCTCTGAAGTAAAAACTTACCCCTAACCCGTCCCTTACCCTGACCTTAACCCCTTCACTTTAAGAAACACTACTATCACTAGTGTCACATGATACAATGCCCACAACCTGCCATTTACCCTGGGCGTCACATACTGATGATAGGGGTACTCCATTTGTGTCAGTATGGGGGGCTCAGGAGATTTAGACCAAGCATTAGTATGCAGAGATGGGAAGTAACGAAGTACAAATACTTCGTTACTGTACTCAAGTAGATTTTTCTGATATTTTTACTTTACTTTACTACTTATTTTTATAGTGACTTTTTACTTCTACTCCTTACTTATTTTTACACAAATATCTGTACTTTCTACTCCTTACATTTAAAAAAATTGGCTCGTTACTTTAGTTTTGAATCATTTCAATGGAGTTACCGTTATTATTTTTCACGTCATCAATACCAAATTCAATCTAATTGGATGGGAATCTACGTTGCATTTGACGCACCACTACAAGATGAATCGACAGATTCGGCGGTATTCATTGGCGGCAAATCATTGCAGCTTGGTGGCGGTGGCGTTAGCATAGTAGTATGGACGACGAGATGATTGAAAATTAACACAATGGAGATCTAGTCCTATTGGCAGACATCCATTTAAAATGTAGGCAACGGCATGAAAAAAGTGGTTTCTACTTTTACTTTTATACTTTTAAGTTATTTACAAGCCTGTACTTTGTTACTTTTACTTGAGTAAAGAAGTTTAATCAGTACTTCCACTTTTAGCAGAGTATTTTTTAACACAAGTATCTGTACTTTTACTCAAGTACGGAAAGTGAGTACTTTTGCCATCTTTGTTAGTATGCGAATGTGTTGGCTTTTAACTATGCTCCTCAGGCTATTTTTGTCCTTTAAAGACAATCTATGAAACCAACAAATAAAAGAAAAGGGTAAAAGACTTTCAATAAATGAATAGTAAAAATTACTTAAAATCCTCAGAGATACATTAAAATTATTTACTGTAGCTTCTGCGTTAAGTAGATTGTTGGTTGCTCCCAGTTAAATATTTAATTTTTATCGACAAAGTTTTTCAAGTACTTATCTAGACTATATTTCTATAAAAGGTAATCAGTTGTTCCATTTGTGCTGGTTGCATTAAGTGTAAAGACACCTTTAGGTGTCTTTGTAGTTGGCAGTAGGTTTGGTCTGGTGACTGATTCCCTTTCTTGTTTTCTTTGTGTTCTTATGATTTTCTTTCTCCTTTATTTGTTGACTGGTCAGTCATGTTGAAGTTCCCCAATATTCCCCATTTTCTCCAGAAGTGGATAAAGGTTCTCATTCCGGTATTCTGGAGTCCCAAAGCCTAAAAAATGGCTTTAAACTCTTTCCTTATAAATAAATAACTTTGATTCTGTTTCTTATCTGTTTCTGATTGTCTTCAGTTCCAAGGTCTTTTGCTTTTTTGACATGTTCAGCGGACTTTATATTGTCAGACGGGTTTTAAGTAAATGATTTCATGATTTTACAGTTTACTCCGGTTATCTTTTTAATCTTTTTTAAGATTAGAATAGATAAAATTACTAAAATAATGGCCTTACCTTCTCTGTGATGGCTGGCCCACAGGAAGAGCTTTATCTTCGCAGAAACGCCTCATTGCGAACCTGTCCAGTGCCTGGTCAGCACTATTAGGAATCAAATCAGACAGGTTTTATCATTTTATATGGACATTTTACAACAACTGTTAGCTTTCTATAAGAGGGGCTAAAAGAAATAATAATTATACCAAAAAAAAAACTCTTCACAGCTTTAAAAATAACCCTGGGCTTTAAATTTCCTGGCTGGTTCCCAATGTACTACAACATCTGGTTGTGTTAAAGAAGGATGACATTTTCTGAGCACTTTCTTCCCTCACAATGCCAGGAAAATAAACTAGTTCGGACGGACTGCTAAGCTAAAATATCACATGGGTGTTTAATTTTCAAGGCCTTAGTTTAAAGGATTTTTACTGCTGTCCTCACAGCACCCCTCCATGGGAGGTGGGATTTGGAGTGTAAAAGAACTCAGTTTTTCAACAGCGACAGCCTGAAATCTTCTGCATCTCAGAAGCTAAACACATTTTATTACAAAATGTGTTTATACCTGCCAGATATGTTGCTGTAGTGCATGTATGCAGCCACCACTACGCCTGTTCGACCTCGATTTCCCTACAAAACAATAGAGAAAACAAGAAAACGAGTTAAATTTGGTAAATGCTAAACATTTTACCACAGCTTACTGTTAATGAACCATGGGAGAAGAAAAGGCAAGAGACTTAAAAATCCCAAAAGGATTTAATATAAAAAAAAATTGGAAAAAAAATAAAATAAAACTAAACTTTTACTTATAAGATGTTTGGGTTGTTTTAAAACTTGTTGCAGCAGAAATAAATTATTTTTTGAAAAATCTACATAAGAGGAAATTGGATTATTGGCAGATTATTGGTAATATCATGTTTTTGTTTTTGGCGGGAAAAAACAAGATGTAGTTGACAAATTCAAACTGCTATTTCCAAAAAGTGGTAAAATATGTATTAAAAAGCATACCTGTATTGGATTTGTTTACAGTTTGGTTGGTGTTTTCTTTAAAGTGATTAAAAGGTAGTTAGCTTCTAAGTGCTAACCAGTAAGACGTATTCCCAGGTTTTTTTTTTTTGTCTAATCTGCTTTGATTTGAAGGTAGACAGGATTATTTTTGGCGGTTTTGCCGACCCAAACCAGAGTTAAAGCCTTACATAACAGGAAGAAAAACAAAGATGTAACCAAACATTTGGTAACTGCGGTTCCAAACTGCTATCAGCTAGCTGATGATGCTACTATGAAAAATACACGTAGCACAATAGCTTTTTAGCAGGGCCTCATCTAAGAAAGAAAAATGCATAAAATTAAGGAAAATTTGGTAAATAGCCTATCGGAAATGTGAGATTTAAAATTTTAAAATCCTTTATACCACATTGGTTTTGTGTGCTTTGAATCTGGTAGCAATTAATGAAGTGATGTCCCCAAAATGTCATGTGTAAGAGGTGTGTGCTGCAGGATTTTCAGGAGTTCTTTTTGTGTTTATAGGCCTACTTACTAATTGTACCAAAACCTGATATCTACAGGAAAAATTAACCTAGATTTCTACAAGTACAAAATACTATTCCAGATTTCTTGTCAGATTCATTTTTATATATTTTTTTACAGGTATCCCTTCAGCTTTAATCATCACCTTGTTGTGCAGGAGCACCACATTGCGCTGATTTCCACTGAGCCACGTGTCAATGGCTTTACACATGCTGCAGATCTTGTCCAAAGCTGGAGCGTGGTGATCCGGCCAGCCAAACTCCAGAACCTGAGGAGGATTTTTATTATTCAGAAAGCAGGAGTCTGTTTAATGTCTAATTTTTATGGTCTCCCTTCACTCCAAATATGAGAGGCTTCTAGTTACAGAAAAACAAAACCAAAGCCGCAGAAGGGTTTGCACCTTGTGGTTTAACTTGGTTAAATCATTCCTCTGCTCACTCAGGTTGAGCACCTGAGAAAGATAAGAGAGAAAAGAGTATCATGTTAAAGCTCTTTATCTAGCAGTGGAATGCTTTCAGGTCCTGATTTTGCTCACCAGGTAATGTTCGCCATGCTTTGACCGCAGCATTTCCGCCACCTCTTTGAGGTTGCTGATGTAGCTGCGCTCTTCAGTTGCATTGGGGAAAGAGAGGGAGATGATCCTCTCGGTGATGTAGACCAAGTCAACCTCATAGCTCTCCTCCATGGTCTGAACCACACTCTGGCTCCTGGAAGATCCAGTGGGAACAGAACTTAAAGCCAAAGTATAGATGAACTGGAACAAGTTGTAATACAATAGAAAAATGCTCAATCATGGGGTGAAATAACCATCAGTGAATATGTATCTTAATTTTTAAATGTAAATCAATACACTTAAGATTTTTTTGTTTCTTATCAATTTATAGATACAAGTGACATATGATGTTAAAAAGATTATAAATTCTATTTACAAAGGCAAAACTTTGCCAATGTACAGTTACAAATCACATATTTAAAAATACCAATCTATGACCCAGGCCAAAGCTGTCATACTCCTTACTAGTTGCAGGTGGCAGTGAAACTGAAAGTTCTTTGAAAGCTGCTTTTAAGGGAGAAAAAGAGGAAGAAGATGAAAAACAGAACCGTCAATTAAACATTACGCCACACAAGCACTGAAGGCATGTTTTCACCATTTTCATCTACTGCAGTGTGCTTGTGATCTGAGAGGGCTGCAAGTGTCCGGTTCAATCCCCATAGCCTCCACTCTGGGTTTCTGATCCAAACCCTAGACCCTATTACTTACTATAAATTATTACTTTTTAATGGCAACCTGTGCTTTATTTACCACCAGCACCTTGTAAGCAATGACCAGCTTCATAAGAGGTGAATTTTTGGTATGTACTTGTAAATTTGTGATTTGTGAATCATACCTGTAAATTTGTGAATCATAATTGTAAATTTGTGAATCGTACTTGTAAAATTGTGATTTGTTCTTGTAAATTTGTAGATCATACTTTTAAATTTGTGATTTGTACTTGTTAATTTGTGAATAATACCTGTTAATGTGTGGATCGTACTTGTACATTTTTGATTTGTACTTGTAAAGTTGTGAATCGTGCATGTAAATTTGTCAATTGTATTTGTAAATTTGTGATATGTAATTGTAAATTTGTGAATCGTTCTTGTAAATTTGTGATTTGTACTTTTTGTGAATAATACCTTTAAATTTGTGATATATAGTTGTAAATTTGTAAATAATACCTTTAAATTTGTGATATATACTTGTAAATTTGTGAATAATACCTTTAAATTTGTGATATATAGTTGTAAATTTGTGAATAATACCTTTAAATTTGTGAAACTTACTTGTAAATTTGTGATATATACTTGTAAATTTGTGAATAATACCTTTAAATTTGTGAATCTTACTTGTAAATTTGTGATATACACTTGTAAATTTGTGAATCGTTCTTGTAAATTTGTGATTTGTACTTGTTAGTTTGTGAATAATACCTGTAAAGTTGTGAATCTTACATGTAAATTTGTGAATAATACCTATAAATTTGTCAATAGTATTTGTAAATTTGTGATATGTACTTGTACATTTTTGAATCATTCTTGTAAATTTGTGATTTGTTCTGTTAAATTCGTGAATCGTCCTTGTAAATTTGTGATGTGTCCCTGTAAATTTGTAAATTGTACTTGAAATTTTGTGAAAGTTGTAATCATACATCCAAATTTGTGATTTGTACTTGTAGTTTTACAAAGTTGTAAATTCTAAACCGGTTTTCTCACAGATGAAACACATGATGTCACATGTTTGTTGTAGTCGACAACAAGAAACAAATACAAATCTTCATTTTACCTTTATTGACTTACACCTACTCATACATTTTATTGGCAGTATTTTCACCCCCTACTTATCCCATGAAAAAAACTGTCAATTTTCTAAACATTTAATTCTCAACCCTCAGATCAGAGTGGGTATTTTCCTTTACAAAATGATCTGAGTTAATTTTTTATTTCTTTTTTTTTTTTTACAGCTGCTGTGAGATGAATTGTCTAAAATATCTCTGGGGAATGGATGACAAAGATCCACTTGATCAAATATAAACTCCCACAGCTTAGATATGTTCTTGTTGGAAATGCTACTGTTTACATTCCAGTGTTGAGTGTTGAAAGGACCTCTGCTGAAATTACACACCCAATTCCACTAACCAAAAGTGCAAAACAACAAAAAAAGCACTTTGGGGTTTATTAACTGATAGGCACGGGCCAAGAAGATTAATGAGGCTTTTTCTGTTGCTAAAATGCTCGACAGTTCTCTTCAGCTAACCAAAGACTAGGATAGTCATGTAAAGTTGTGATTTTCTATTGTACATTTGTGATTTTTTTACTAGTAAATTTGTGAATTCTACTTAAAGACGTGGTCTCTACTTAAAAAAAAACAAATTCCCTGTAAATTTGTGATTCTTTGTCCAAAATGTTTAATTTGCACATGAAACAGGCCCCTGTGTTATGTCATACTTACAGCAGCAGGTGACAAAATACTATAATTAAGGTATTAACAGTTTAGGAATTGACAAGAGTTCTGATAACTTTTGAAAACAAAATAGTTGTTTAAAAATTTGATCTATATTATAAAATATAATGATTAAACTATTTCTTCTGTTGTTATAACGGAGCTCAAGCAGTGGTGCGGGAATACGACATCATTTTACTATGAATGTACATTAATTACCCTGACTGCTTTCTCCGAATCTCCACACTTTTGCACGACCTCGTAGATCCCTAAGAGCCACAACATAAAAGAGAAGAGAGCAAAAGAAAAGAGACATAAGCAAACTTCAGTCTTCAATAGTCTGTTTAAAGAACAGGGCCAAAACCTTGAATCCAGATGAAATCATAGGAATAATTTTTAAGTAAAAAAATAAACACTATGTTGACAAAAGGTAAGAAAATAATTAGATTCTAAAAGCTTTAAAAGAAAGATACAACCTTTTTTAATTCTCATTTTTTATATTTATATATTTTTATTTTATATGGGGTGAATTTTTTCCATTATTGATGCAGGCAAAAAACATGTTTTGTCAATTGAAATTTGAAAAAAAGAGTTTATTTGTAAAGCACAATTCAGTTAAAAGACAATTCATAGTGCTTTACTTGATTTAAACCAATTCAGCAATTGGTAACATGAATGTATGATTGTTTCGCTCAAACGAGAATTGCACAGGCACGGCCATGGCTCTTGAGGTGCTCTTTAAAACCTCTTCCAATCACGTTAGACCTACAGTTGGTCTGTACTGTAAAATGAAAAGTGGGTGAGTCTGAAGCTAGCCTAAAGCTAGCTAGCCCCTTAAATGTTGAAGCGTTTAAGATGGCTTGTTCAGAAACAGGAAGGTGAACTGTAAAAATAAGGTATTCAAATGGACAGTGGATGGACAAATATACATTTTTTTGTCCAAGGACACGCTACATTGTCAATCTGTTTAAGCTGCTGGGGGTCTGTGGCGATTGTAAAACGTGAAAACATTTAATGCCACTATGGTTCTAAACCTAAAAAGTTTGAGGAAACTTACCCACAAGAACCATGAAAATAATTGCATTTCAGACTTTTGGCAAGTGAATCTTGTTTTATGAGTCCTAAACTTATTCTCAGACTTATCTCAGACCCTCCAGCTTATTCCACCAGTGTCCGAGCCCCAAGGGAAGACTACTCTAATCCTTTTCCTAGGTTACTCATTTAAGCAAATTCACAGCATTTAAGTCTTCTGCTGGTGCCCGAGCGCCAAAAAACCTGTTTCATTTATGTGATGATCTTGGCACTTATGACTTGTTTTGGCCGCTGGAACTCTCTGGACAGCGTTCGCCGCATGCTGCGGAAAGTCATCCGACTGGATTCCACTCCTTCCTCTGGGCTCGGACTGAACATTTTAACCAGGTTAGTGACTCACATGCTCATAATTCCCCTCTGTCAGAGCTGTGTGGTCACTAACCTGTGTTTTGCCCTCTACAGAGATTCCGGCCTTTTTGTCCTAGCTGCTGAGTCGCAGATTCGTCAAGCAGTCAATAAACGCTATAATAAATCACTTCAGTCCGTGTGCCTGAATTCTGGGCCAGTTTTACAGTTTATGTCTTTATCTGCTTCTTGCTCCTTGAACCCCATTCAACCTCAGCTGCTTACACTGTGACTGGTTCTGCTGGAGGTTTCTTCCTCTTAAAGGGAGTTTTCCTCTCCACTGTCACTCCACGCATGCTCGGTGAGAGGGATTGCAGAGAGTCGAGACAATCAGCTGGTTTTGCTTAAATAGAAATATTTTTAACAATGTGTGTTATCTGTAAAAATTTCAATTGAATTGAATAAAACTTTTCTAATAGCAGCTTTTCTCTGTGTAAGTCTCTCCATGTTGATTTAGACCCTCCTGAAATCTAGTCAATTCATGAACGAAACAATATAATAGAAGAAAAATGAAACATAATCAAAGTATAAAAGGATAAACGTGAGAAAAGCAGGAAGTGCAGCTAACAAAACAGGTCAACCACAAATTTAAACTAATAATACCTCAGTTTACAGTTTAACAGTCAAATGCAGCTCTAAAGAAATGGGTTTTTAAATCTGACTTAAAAGAAACTCGAGCTTTCAGTACTTTTACAGTCTCAAGTGAAAAATATGTAATTCTTCAAATTTATGATATGATTCATCATCATACATGGAGGGATTTTTGACATTGTTGCAAGCAAAGAAAATGCTTTGCAGATAAAAAAAAAAAAAAAAGACATTTAATTTTCTGAATTTACATTAAAAGATGCAGGCCAGGAATAAAACTTCTTAATTAAAAAATATTTTAAGAGTAACTTTACTGTTTTCTCATATTTTATTTAATTATATTTAATTTATTCTTTTAAAGATTTAAATGCTATTACATTATTTGAAATTTCATTTATATATATATATATATATATATATATATTTTGAATTTTAAATCTTTCAAACTTTTTTGAAAGTTTTTCAAATCTGAACAATTTTTCTTGCTTTTTTTTAAAACAACGACTTACTTTATATATATATATATATATATAAAACACTGACACTTTGTCTTAACCAACAGAATACTGTTGCTAACATCCATGCTAACCCATAGAAATGTGTTTCACCTCTCCAATTGAAAGCAACCAAAAAGAAATGCAATTTGTTAAACTCAATCTGAAAAAGAAAAAAGTTTAATTTCAAAATATAGAACCTGTGGAAAAAAAAAAAACATAAAACAACTAAAATAAAAATAAATCAAATATGAAAAATAAGTAAGTTGAAAAATGTATTCAAGACAAACAGCAAAGATACTGTTGTATAGATTTTTTTTTCTTTATCAAAAACAGGTTTTATTTTTAGATACATTTATTTAGTCTCAAAATTAAGTTGTTCTTTGCTTGCAAGAAAATGTAGTCTTCTCCTGCTTGGATCATTTCTGTATTCCTCGCATTCGCTGTTTCTCAGCTGTTTTTGTACAGTAGATGTTCTCACCAAGTCTATATTAATTATGATTTATGATTAAAATGCAGAAAACTGTGGAAGAAAAACACATTTTTAAGAGAAAAAACTATGTTTTTGCATGTCTGATATGCTACATTTTCCTTTATGATGTTTGGAGTTCATTCAGTTTTTCCTTTCTGCCAACTTCTAGTTAATCTGGCCTGAACAGGCCCCCCCAATCCCCCCATGAGTCAGCTACAGTCATGGCATTTCAGCATCCTGCAAAAAAGGACAAAACTCCCTCCTTTAGTAACACGCTGCAAGCGTATGATACCTTGAATTACAAAGCAAACATATCTGTTAAAAATGCTTTCTTTTTTAGAATGATTTAAACAAATTTCTTTGTAGAGGAAAATCTATTTTACTACTTCTGTGCTCTTGTAGCTAATGATTCGACTTTTAGACTGCAGAAAGAAGATAATTGCTGAGCCTTTTTCTGGCCATATTCTGCTCTACTTTCTTTGTGCAGAGCTTTGTATCAGTGTTCATACAGGCTGGTGTAGAAAGGGCCCATCTGTGATTCTGTGAGTCATCGCTTATCTAATTATTTGGGCAACATCTGACCCAAACGCTGAGTCGTGAGAAAAGAAGTGTGGTAAGGTGCGGGATGCAAGACATCAGTGGCGCTTTCTTTGTTTGCTTTACTTTGAAAAACATGGAAGAAAATGATGAGTCCCCCTTTTTTTTTAATCAGGGATGGATTCAATCAAAGCGCCAAATGGTCTCTTTCTTCTGTCTGCTGCTTTAAATAAACAGTTTCTCCTTACACATTAGCTCTGCTTATATTCAGTCCCATTTGTCATGGTGTTTAAACATTTAATCCTGTCAAAGATCAGTCAAACACCTCCAGTCATGTCATCAGAGTGTATTATTGTTTAATATCTGGATGCATTTTATTGCAGGGTTTAGAAACTTTGTAAAGATGAATGTCTGAACTCTGGATCTGAAGTTTTGGCGGGTTATTTGCAACACATTATTAAAAAATTGTTAAAAGGTCCCATTTGTGAGGAAGTGGAGAAATCAGAACAACCATTTCCTCTTTGAGGTCAGGTAAGACCTCCAACATTACTATGGTTAGTTAATGCTAAAATAATGAGAGAGAAGTTTTGTAACTTTCTTTTAAAAAAAAAAGTGATTTAGGAGCGTGGCATGGACTACATGCCAACACCGCAATACTACTCTCAACACCGCAATATGGAGTCAGAATTCTGCCAAGCGTGATAAATAATCATACCAGCAGTTTTATTTAAAACAGCCCCACATAGAATACTCTCCATGTACATTTTAAACGTGTTTTAAGTACAAATTCAAGGCCAAGAGGCCCAATATTTCACACTCATGAATGTATGCTCCCTCTCTTTCTTTTAATGCACATGTAGTTTCTCGCCTACTCAAGTATGCAAACTGGCTACTTTTCAGGAAACCCTGCATCCTTAATTAGTACTCTTTACTTCCTGGTTTTAGCTAATAATGATGTTACTGGATCTGGACTGGAAGCACAATCTGTACCATTATCAAGAATCACTCATTTACCCAGTGCAAGCAGATATTCATCCAGGTCCAATTGGATGTTCATCCAGGTCACTAAAAATAATGAAGTACTTTTTATCCGAAACTTATTAAGTACATGTAATTCTCTCAAAAAAGTCATGAAAAAATATTTCGTGACTTTTTAGAGAGAATTAGATGTACTTTGTATTCTCTCCATTTAAATACCTACTCCTGTGTAGGTTAGGGTTAGGGCTAGACATAGGGTTAGGGTGGACAAATCAAAGAAACAATAATTGTTTGCTCAAACAATATGCCCAGATTGTTGGACCTCCCACATGAGGGTGTTTGCTGCTAGCTGAACCTGCAGCTGTAGTCTTCACAATTGCTTGTCTGACAGCATCATCTGAGCGGTGTGGCAAAATATGATCACACTATGTTTATCTGTATTTCCATTGTGTCTTTCTTTAGATCATGCATTACATAACATACAAGTACAATGAAAAGTGAACATACAACTAAAAGAGAAAAACATTTTTATATAAATTCAAAGATGAAAAAAGTAGTTGCCGGATATAGGGTCTGTATCTAGACCTGGGTTCCTCTCTTCTGGTCATTAAGGTCCTGTCCCGTTTAGAAGTGTATCCTCTTCTACATCGAAATCAAATGGCTGAATTACCTCCTCAGTATGCAGTCAACTTCTTCAAAGCCCTGCCCAATACCTGATTATTTGACTCGTGTTTTGAAGCAGAGACACTTCTTAAACACACGTCTTAAACATGCAGAATGCCAAACCTCGAGGACCAGATTTGAGGATCCCTCACCTAGACCAACTCCAACTGGCTGGACCCGAGGAGTGCACCAAATAGACAGCTTAGACACAAAAGCAAAACTGCAACAAATGTGCAGTAAATTGTCTTAGAATGCCTGTAATATGGCTAAGCAAAAAAAAATGTAATTTTGAAGTGAGTTGTTATATCAATATGCACTGAAAGGCCGCTCAGCAAGAAGAAGCCATTACTCAAAAAGCAGTTATTGCAGCTCTGTCATGAGGACTCGGTGAAAAACTCCAGCAAAGTACTTCAAGAAGCTTGTTGAATGATGCGCACATTTTAAAGGCATCTCTTATACTCTTATACCAAGAAAATCTATTTAGAAATCTGTGGTTTCAAATCGTTTTTGAATCTCTCTTACTGTTTTGGCATTTAGCTAAATGAAGTTCTTACAATTCTAGCTCCCTTTAAATAGTTAAAGCAACAGTACCTGGCCTAGCAGTCTTTTCTTTCATGCAGATTCAGGTGTGAGAGCTCAGTCAGTTGATTGGCTGCCTGGACGGTGCTAAGGAACCTGATTGGACCAGCTGAATCACTAAGAGAAGTAGTGGATGATGGGACCCGCCTGCACCCTATAAATCACTTCTGGAGTCATTCTTTCAGTTGGGTAGCTTTTGGGAGAGGCTTTGTACAGCAGACCACCCCTTTGATTTGGTTCTTTAGAAGAATGGGCAGCTGCACATTATTTTGTAATTTCTGACCCACCATGCTCTTCTTACCAGTGTGGTTTAGCTCTTGTTTGTTTTCTAGTTCAATCTAGAGTGTTGTTTTTGAGAGAACCAGGCTGGATTTGTCATTTCTGTCAGGTGCATTGTATGCGGGAACCTTGCTTTTTCTAATAAATCCTTTTAAATGTCCTCCTTTTACCCCTGCACTCACTTTTTATGCTATCACCCCCTGATCCCCTTGACCTGGAGGGGTAACAGTTAAGTTTAAGAATTTAAAATACCATGATGTGACCACCTGGAGCTCAAGGGACCTAAAGGAGAACCCCTACCTGTAGCAACCTCTGTATTCATCAAGGCTGATTCTTTGGCACTATAATATAGCTTGAGTTTTAGTTTTTGTCCCTTACATTTTGTAATCCCCTTACTAGATGTTCCAGCTCTTTATAAAGTAACCTCTGCTGTGCTAAATTGAAAACATTCAAGCTATGTGTTGTAAAGTAAACCTGTGCGTTTACACCTTGAAACTTTCTCTTCACAGTTCTTTTCCTGAGAAGAGATCACTCGGGACAAAATCTTTAAAACACATCTTTAAACACTTCATAATGTATATATATTAAATAACCATGACATAACATGATATAAATTGTAATCTTACTCAGACCAGAGAGTTTGTTTAGTTACAGAAGACAGTGCTTACCAACCAGGCTCCCTTCTCCATGAAGTCGGCCATGAATCAACATTAATGAAGCATTTTATACAGCTCCATCTCTTCCTGCCACATCATCACGTGTCACATCATTACATCATACACATTTTAAAAATGTTTGAATCTATGGCTCCGACTAAAACTACAGTATTACTCAGTCTTCCAGATAAAGGCACAGAGAACTCGCTCTTAAGAAAAGTTCCACTCTGGCTGTTCCGCCATATCATTTCCAAATCTCTGTTATGTACATAATGAACATGATAACTGTATATCTGACAGAACTGTCCTAATTAGATAAACTGCTTGGGAAAAACATCAGCCCTAACACGTAAGAAGCAGGAATTATTAGGGTTTAACAGACTCATACATCATCAATAAAAGTAATCCAAACAGTATCAACGTGGCCGTATCTCTTCTTTTGGTCTTTAATCTGAGTTTAAAACAACAAGTTCTAAACTGTATTTCCCATGAACTCGGTTACCACAAAGCACATTTCCAACAATAACAGTGGAATTTATGAGTGGACAGATACTTACCGGTGTATCTACATGCTTTAACGGCAGCTGCGGAGTGGGAGGCTGCAGAGAAAGAAAGGGGGAATTGGAAGGTCAGTGGTTTTCTTTCACAATGAGGTAAAAGAGAGGTTAAAAGGTATGAAATTTATGGACGGTAGTTAGAGAGTTGTTCTACTGATCCTGTATTTTTAAATGCCTCGTCTGTCAGATGCAGTCACTCCATGAGCTACTTGTCTTTCAAAACACTTTAAGCTAAAAAATCAGGACACTTTTTGAAATATACTAGTTAAACGCATAATTAATCCTAAAGATAATAGGCAGGACAAACCTTTCAAATTGGAACACTGATTAATCTACTTGACTTCTAATAACAGTTGACCATTTACTAGGCTTAGATTTTTAATGGAAGGAAATGAAAACTTCTATTTCAATCTCATTAAAAGGAAGATTAAAAGGAAGACTAAAGTCTTTGTGCCACAGTGCATGAATCCTATTCTGCCCTATAAAAGCAGCCAGCCCTAAACAACTGGAATAATCACTTTGGCTAAAGCCGATTTGTCCTTGTCTCGCAGCTTTTCGTTAAGGTTCAATCAGAGACACTGACTAAATGAAAAATATTGGAAACTTTAAACACTTTTTATGTTTAGAAAATGTTTTCTATGTGTTATAAATCATACCAACAGATAGGAAGACGTTAAAATATAAAGAAACCATCAGTAAATTATGTAAGAAATTTCAAGTATGTCCTTGAGTGTTTATGTATCGTCAGAGTTTCAAACTTGGATACAGACATTTAGGAATGTGCTGGAATCATTAACGTGAGTTTCTCTTGTTAGGGTTAACATAAACGAGAGGAGTTATTCCAAAACAGTCAATAACCAAGCTCCATCTTACATCAGGGATCTAATGGTTCCTTATCTTCCTAAGACAGCACTTCGCTCTTAATCTACAGGTTTACTAGTGGTTTGTAGAACTTCTAAAAGAAGAATGGGAAATCTTTTAGTTATCAGGTTCATTTCCTGTGCTATATAAGCACCATGAATTACCATTTAGAGTAATGGAAAACTAGCTGATAAACATTTTACTGCCTGACAACATACTAACCAAAAGACAGAGAGCTGAGCAAATGCCACAGTTTCATCTCTGCTGTATTGCCAAAACAGCAGTAGAAGCTGTGCAGTTTCTAATATTAGCTATCTTAGCTCTGCATTAAATATTATGCAGTTACTATAGTTTTTCTTTTTTTAGTTTGGCACAGTTTCCCCCCCAACACAACCCTTACAGCCATAGCCGTAACCCTTTTGTAAATGGGTACTAAGGGAAACAGTGAATTTTTTTCTTCCACTTTTAAACCCACAAACTTTCCTACAACTAACTGCTAATACCAGTGCGAGGCAGACACCCTGTCTACTTTTAAGATTAGGCTTAAAATAGTTAGAGTGGCTCAGGTTATCCTGAGCTATCTCTATAGTTGTGCTGCTATAGGCTTAGACTGCTGGAGGACATAGGGAGCCCTTTCATCACTCTGCTTTATTCTACTTCTATTCTGTATTATTTGATAGTTTAACTTCTACCTTTGTCCTCTCTGCTTTTTCTTGTCATTGTACTGTAGCTTCATCTGGTTGTGCGTAGCTGTGACTCAGTCCTGGATCAAACCATCATCTGGGCTGCCGCTATCAACATCTCCAACTATTGAAATTGCTTTTTACTGCTTTTCAATGTTTGTTATCGTCTCTCTCTTTGACATAGCTATAGGCTTAGCTTTTACTGTGACAAACTGCATGTTCTTTCTTGCATCCAATTTGATGAAAACGGGCTCACATCTGATCTATTTAACTGTTTCTTTCCTACACAATTCAATTCAGTTTATTTATATAGCGCCAGTTCACAGGACAAGTCATCTCAAGGCACTTTACAGTTCAACCAGATCATACAGTCAAATTGATTCAAAGTTTTCTATCTAAGGAAAACTAGTTGATTGCATCGACTCATTGACTCCAATACAATCCCTCACACTAAGCATGCTTGTAGCGACAGTGGAGAGGAAAAACTCCCTTTTAACAGGAAGAAACCTCCAGCAGAACTAGGCTCAGTGTGAGCGGCCACACAGAGGCACTTGTAGAGCTAGTTTACTGCTTCTCTAACATAGATAGTGGATCAGTGATCTATGCTCCTTTTTGCTTGCATGCTCAGTGTGAGGGATTCCTGTAGAGCCAATCACAAAATTTAAGCAAATACAATTTTCTACTTGACATTTTTTTTAACTGCAGCATTACAGTATTCCTTTGCATGCAGTTTGTGTTTTGACCTCTTTTTGGCTTTGCTAGCGTTTTTTTGTCTTTGCAGAACTTTTTGTATTTACTGAGCATTTTCATTACATTTGCACTCCTCTGCCACCATAATAGTTTCTTTAACTTAATCTCTGTCTAAATCTATAATAAGCTCTCATCATCTCTAAGCTAACAGTTGCACCTGCTGACCTTTAACCCATTTAAGCCTTGCCACAATTTCAGAAAGGACCCCCATAATTTAAGCAGAGGATTTCAAAGACCAGAAACCATTTGCATTTTCCCCAAAGACTATTATTGGACAGAATGCATGCATTTACTCCGAGTACTCACCGGCTCAGAATTGGATGCTGTCTGACATGATGTAGTGACCTGAAAGTGAGAAGATAAACATGCAATTAAACAGAGCATATGATAAGGGTCATGAAAAAGAAAGTTGCAGAAAAAAAAACAATGTGAAAAGTAAACCTAACACAGGATCGGTCCACTTCTCTATTTTCATATCAACCATATTCTTTCCTTAATTTTACTTCATATTACAACACTGCAGTCTCATTTTAGAAGCTATTGATTGAAGGTAAGTAAGTAGGTAAGGCAAAAGCAGAACCAGCTGCTTGAAGTTCTCCACTTCAGCTTGTTTTACACAAAATAATAGATCACTTAAAGGCTGTTAATGTGTCTATAATACATGCTTTTATATTGGAAAAAATGTTGCACTATGTTTAAGTAACACTTAACTACAAGAGATTTAAAAAAAAATCGGAAAATTGGTAAAACCATTTTGTCTATAAGATATCAGGGAATAATACGTGCAGAGATATTAATAAATAGCAAGACTTAGTGAAACCAAGTAAATATTTAAGCATATTTAGTTACTGTAACACAATTGTTTCATGTCCTAACATTCTATCATAAAACAGTTGTGTTAAAGTAACTAAATATGCTAAAGTAGATGCAAAAGTCACAGGAATAATTTAGAGAGAGAGAAAAAGTGAGCAAGCTAACCATTAGCGGTTCTAGACAGGGGCCTACCGGGGCCAGTGCCCCTTTAGATCTAGTCCTGGCCCCTGTTGTGGCCCCTGTACTAAAGACATAATACTAAGAGAAATTCTGATGATGATATGTGCTGGAGCATACATGGTTTCTGATAGGTCCTTTTTGGATCGATTTAAATTTTTTTTTTCTTTAAAAAATTCTGTTTTACTGTTATTTAAATTAAGGTGATAGCTTCAGAGATAGGATCCCAGTTTTCATCTGTTGTTTTTTTTTTGAAAAAAATAAATAAATCTAACCTTTACAGCTGAATTTATCAGTTTGTATTGAGTTCTAATTCTGATTTTATAGAAAACTATAATTTTAACTTAAATTAAGTTAAAAATATATAACATTCCTAAATTATGAATGTATCTTGACCTAATATTCCAAATAATAGCTTTATTTGATCTTTTTTTTTATATATTTATATAGCTGCAATTTCTTGAGTTGCCTTTTAACTATGCTAAGGGACTTTTATTTTGATTTTAACGATAATCCAAATGAACATTTTTGAGGCAAAAATAAATATTTTCAGTTAGAAGACATATTATTTTAATTAAACCTGATTGAAGAAATTTCACTTCATGCAGCTTTTAATATATTTGAATACCTAGCCCAGTTTTTTTGCTTCATCCATTTCTGTGCCCCTTTGACCCCCCAACCCCCGGCCCCCCTGGAACATTTGGTGTAGAACCGCCACTGAAGCTAACATCAATATAGACTGAGAGAAAAAAAAAATCAGGAACCAAATATCAACCTGTGAGCTACTCTTAAAGACATGATTAGAAAAAATTGGAGAGGTTGCAGCAAAATACATAATTTGAAACCTTGGAAGCGAAGTTAGGGTAAAAGCTATGGCATTAGAGAGAAAAAACATTTTAATAAGCATTTGAAACCTTCCTCTTAGATTAGCTTGTAGCAAGGGCACTACAGGAAGTTAGAAGAGTTACTTGTTACTAGTTTTTTTAATGGTTATAGAGTCAGATATGTGGCGGTAGTGTTTGATTTATCTAAAGGTTTTTATCTGTTACTGTGTAAATGGGTTTGCTGGAATTTAAGGACAGATTCTAATAAATCTGCAGAGTGGGAACTATAAATCTGATAGGAGTTTAATTTTTTTATTGTTGTTTTGCACAATATGCTTAACTAAGTATTTGTTTTTTGTTAAATATTAGAGATTTTGCAGATACATTTTGTAGATACATTGTTTAGATTTACTTATATCTCTCTACCCCTTTTATAGAATAGAATAGAAAATCCCTTTATTGTCCCACAATGGGCAGATTTACAGCAGCAGAAAGATTATTGAAAATGGTCACACAAATGAGGACCTTAGAAAAAAGAATAACATAATAGGGAAGAGTTAAAAGATAAAAAATAAAATTCTGTAAAGTGTTTTAACAATATAAAACTGGAATATTAATAACCAATATGCAGCTATGGACATTTTTCCAGTAATGGATATTTGAAAATAGCAGCAACATCAGAGATGTGCAGAATGACAGCTGCAGGTTATTTAACTGACTAAGGTTTCTATCATTACATTTGATTTGATTTGTTCCTGCTCCCGGTGGTTGGAACCTTTATTCCACTCTGGATTCTTGTGAGTGAAGTCTTTGTTCACTTGAACTTTTTAAAAAATAAATAAATAAACAAACAGTTTTGAAAACCTTGGTATTCATTCTTTTCCTGCTTTGTGTGTCAACTTTCACGGTTGCTAAGCAACAGAGCATACGGCGGTAAAACCCGCTGAAGGGAGGACCTGTTCGAATTTACAGCCAAAACTCTTCTGGCCTCCTTATTTTCAAGGACTTAGAAGGATCCAGTCTAGGTAGACCGCGTCCTTGGAGGATGAAGCCCAGGTTTTCAAACAGAGCCTCTGATTAAGAACAGGGCTGCCCGCACTGACACGGCTCAGGGATTACGTCACGTCTTTCATCATGCGTCATGCGTCATGCGCAGTGAAATCAGGACATTTCCTCACTTTCTAAAAAAAACCCGGGACGCCCGGGACAGGACGTGAAATACGGATATGTCCCGGGAAATACGGACGTTTGGTCACCCTATAGAACCAGGATCTGCACTGGCTGCAGAGCTGCACTGTGAGGTCTCCTGTGCTGATAGCAGTTTATTCAAAGACTTTCAAAGTAAAAGCGAAGTTGATTCAAAGCCTTTCTAAATTAAAAACTAGAGTCGATAAATTCCCCATGGAGCTAGCTTCCTTTCACAAACAATTATTGTTATGCTGGAAACTTATCTACACGCTCAATATTGCTCCCCATCGTCTCTTATCTGGAATAATAGATATGTGCTACATAGAAATTAGACATAGACAGATTTGATTTATTTTGCATTTTCATTTAAAACTGTTCCAGACAATTTTCTTTTTTTAAAGTGCAGCCTTGAAAACAGTAATAAATACATAAAAAATGTATTTACAGTTCTAACATTTTTTTTTTTATAAATAAAATAACCGATTTTATACAACATTCAGCAGTCTAATGGCAGTGGGAGAGAAACTGTTATGGAATCTGCTGGACCTGCATCGGATGCTTCGAAGCCTCAAATAAGTCTTGGTATTTTCCATGACTGGAGGGAAAAGGCCATTTATGTCATGGTCTTGACGCTGATGGTTGGCTTTTTCATTTGCTCCTGCTCACCTGTCTAATTGGTCTGGCGGCTGATAAACACCAATTGTTTCCGCCTTGTTCCCTCAGCCGTTTATTTTGTTTGCTTGCCTACCATCAGCACCAAATTATTCGAGCTGTTTGCGAGAGTAACTCTTGCTATCAAGTGAGTTTTTTTGTGATTCTGATTTTGACTTTGTTTCTGCTTCTGGATATTCGAGTTTGCCCTTGTCTGCTTTTGATCAGTTTTTGTTTTTGAACTGTCTTCCCGGATTCTGCTGGTGTACCGAACTTGGACTTTGTTACTGACTGATTCCCCTTCGGTACCTCTTTGGCTCTCTGATCTCCTGGTCTGTCAACCTGGTTCAGATTCAACCTTGTCTCTGGATATTTCCTCACAGACACTCTTGCTTCCTTGGCGTTCAGCTGGTGTCAGCTCATCATTACCCAGAGTTCTGGAAGCGGCTACGGCTGTAAGCAGTGGGCAAACTCCCCCCCGGATTCCTCCCGTTCTCTGGGATCGGACTGTACTTCGAACGAAGTCAGTGACTTTTTGCTCCTAGTCGCTATCAACCTGACAATCCAGTCAATGACCTGTTTCTGCCCTCTCTGCCGAGAATCCGGTTATCCGTCCTGACGACCAGCCACTCGCCGTGTTTGTTTGTTGGTTTTTTAAAATATAGCCTGTTGAAAATCATCCTGATCTGTCCGTTTGAATATTGGGTCCAAGGTTCTGAGGTCCTGACAATTTGGTCAATAAGACATATAAACGACAATGAATGTTGGCTGTACTGTAAGGACTTTTGCTTACTGTATAATTTGCGCTCAGTTTAACACTCTCATAAACTCTAATCCAGCAGCAAACACGTGCTGCACACTACTCCAAAGGGTTCAAATATTCCTTCCGGAATAAACTTCCAGTCCTGAAAGAACAGGAGACAACATTTTGCAGATCTGCAATGAAGGGTCCTTACTATGCAGGTCTAAGTCCTGACTGTGCAAGTCTGAGTCCTGACAGTGCAGGTCTAACTCCTGACAGTGCAGGTCTAAGTCCTGACTGTGCAGGTCTGAGTCCTGACAGTGCAGGTCTAACTCCTGACAGTGCAGGTCTAAGTCCTGACTGTGCAGGTCTGAGTCCTGACAGTGTAGGTCTAACTCCTGACAGTGCAGGTCTAAGTCGTGACAGTGCAGGTCTGAGTCCTGACAGTGCAGGTCTGAGTCCTGACAGTGCAGGTCTGAGTCCTGACAGTGTAGGTCTAACTCCTGACAGTGCAGGTCTGAGTCCTGACAGTGCAAGTCTGAGTCCTGACAGTGCAGGTCTAAGTCCTGACAGTGCAGGTCTAAGTCCTGACAGTTCAGGTCTGAGTCCTGACAGTGCAGGTCTGAGTCCTGACAATGCAGGTCTAAGTCCTGACTGTGCAGGTCTGAGTCCTGACAGTGTAGGTCTAACTCCTGACAGTGCAGGTCTAAGTCGTGACAGTGCAGGTCTGAGTCCTGACAGTGCAGGTCTGAGTCCTGACAGTGCAGGTCTGAGTCCTGACAGTGTAGGTCTAACTCCTGACAGTGCAGGTCTGAGTCCTGACAGTGCAAGTCTGAGTCCTGACAGTGCAGGTCTAAGTCCTGACAGTGCAGGTCTAAGTCCTGACAGTTTAGGTCTGAGTCCTGACAGTGCAGGTCTGAGTCCTGACTGTGCAGGTCTAAGTCCTGACT